TTTTTTAGTTGCAAGTGCTTTCCAATATTCTACAATAGGGGGGCAAGTTTGTTTCCACATTACTGCAACACATGCTCTAGCAGTATTTAGAGGATGTAATACCAAGGACTTCTTGTAGCTCTTTTTTTTTTGAACGACTGTTAAGATGTAAACATTTTAAATAGATGGTTGGAAGTCTAACTGAACATCTAGAATTATGTGAATAATTTATCTCGCTTTCCGTAAGTATGGTGCACTACCAGAAGGTGTGTAGGAGAGAGCCCAAGCTGTTGTTGCACCGCCAGCAACTATTTGAGTTAGTGCGATACATTTTGTGGAGGACAGTGGGCACTCTACCACCTAGTCACTATCTTATCTTCTGCCTCTTGTCTGAGTTGCAGTTGTGTTTGTTTTGTTAAGGGGTAAAGGTAATAACCAAGTCATATTCCCACTGTTTAAGGAAGAGGGTGGGGGTCCTCTTAGACCAGGAGGAAAGTGCTGGTTACTAATTACCGGTGATGGATACGGACCTTTACACTCAAATTTTACAAATTCATCCCTCTATGTAGGATTAATAATAACAGACACGTCAGGTGTAAAATGCTGTGATTTTGAAATACTTACACTTGCAAAGCACTCACTTCCTGCTTTGAAAGTGTAAAATGACTTCAGGTTGCCAAAACAATGCACACTGGGATTGCCTTGTCATCAGCACAGCGATGCCTGGAAATCTCATCTGTAAACTCACAAAATCTCTGGGAAAGGCATTTTCCTCCCCTGAGATGATGTGCATAGTCGCATGTCCTAGTCACATGTTCCAGAAATCCAGAAAGTAAAAGGAGAAGCTAGTAATATGCCCTTAGTAAACATGGCCACGGTCAGAAGACTGGTGAAGAAAAGAGAAATAAGGTATAGAAAGTCGGCAATTATCAAGAATTATGTGTTTGTAGATTGTCATTACTAAACATTTCTAAATTGTCATTTTACAGATATGGGTAAAGTTCCTCTTTAAGGTATCACTTAAACTCCAAACCTTCTGCATAAACATTATTAAACTAACTGTTATTATGATGTTTATAGGCTGCTTCTAGTACACAAGCTTACAAATATTAACTATTCTACAGTTCATGTTAAGATGGTGTTTGGGAAAATGCTTGTGGATTCTACGTCCTCATTTTGCTAATGCAGCTAAAGGAGACCATTGACACTCTTCGGTTCTGACATTTTTTTAAATAATTTTTATTATGTAACCATCCAGGAAATACAGAAATCGGGGACGAGCTGTAGTTCTCGCTGTTCGAGTTCTCGTCAAGATTCAGAAAGCACCAGACCAGAGTCGGAAACTGAAGATGTTCTGTGGGAAGATTTGCTACACTGTGCAGAATGTCGTTCTTCCTGCACCAGTGAGACTGATGCCGATGCTAATCATGGCAACATATGCATGAAGAGAGAATACAGAGATGATCCTTTTCACCAGGTACTAATGCTTTTCCTGTCTTTTTTTTATGTTATTGGGTGCTGTTTTTATTATGCAATTTCAGTTTTGTGTTTAGTACAGGGCTGGAGAAATCCCAGGAGCCAGGTAGCCAATCCTCATTAACAATTACAGCTGGTGCCCAACTCTTGAGGTTTTCTCTAGTTGTCAATGGAGCTGGCTCCAAAAAAAACTCTGACTCTTGGATTGTACAGACTGGTCCATAAGGGCACACCATGTCTGGATCATGTCCAGATCAGAACAGTTTTTATTCTCGGACCAAAAAAAGCATCCCTATGGTATTTCTGGGCTCTGTTCACACCAGCCAAGTCCCTTCTGATCCAGACAAAATAAAATACTGCTGGTCTCATTTTTTCTCTGGTCTGGAGTGCACTCAAACACAACAAAAACTCATGCAAACGGACTGGACTGCACCTGAAAGCCCATTTTAAGCTAAAGAAAAATGCAGTAAAAATGCACTGCACTGGCTTTGCAGATTTGCTCTAGATCTGGTCCGGACATGGTGTGAACAAGCCCTTAAACTGGACCTTTACCCCCTTTCCCTAAAAATCACATCCGCGTGCAGCTCTGCAGGCTGATTTTAAAATCATTCTACATTCATTAGTTAAACAAACTTATTTTTAATTTACTTACAAATAGAATTAATCTACTTCCTGGTCCACTTCTTGCACAAATGATGCAGTGTGCAAAAGCATTGCATCCTGGGAAGGTTTCATCAGTAGAGCATTGCTGGGAAGTCTTATCTCATGAGATCTCAGGGAAAGGCATTATCTTTCCCCTGAGATTTGCATGGTCACATGTCCTATTCACATGTGCCAGAGTTCCAGGAAGTAAAGGGAGAGCTTGTAACCTGCCCTTAGTTAACATGGTCACTGTGAGAAGACGGGGACAGAAAAGAGAAATGGGGTAAGCAAATGATACAAAATTGGTGATTATCTAGAAGTCTCTATTTGTATATTGTCATTACTAAACATTTCTAAAGGTGTGTGTTTTGTTGTTACTTTGAAGATATGGGTAAAGTTCTGGTTTAGTATAAGATGAAGTCTTCTATATAAAGTGTTAGCTTTAAAACTGGGTAACTGTCGCAAAAAGTCATGATTTTGTAAGTCTTTTATGTGTGAAAATATAATATGCAGTTTCCAAGCTTTGCTCACTTTTTTTTAGACTTTTATAAGCTAGCCCCAAGTAATGCATGCTTTTCTGCTTTGAAGGTTAGAGCTCCTACCTTCTAGTAATTATCCCAAGGAAAGACCAAATGGAAAAAAAGACAGCAGCAGTTAAGTTCACACATATACACTACCACAAAACAGTTCTCCAGTTCTGCTGAAAGAGGAGAATAAACAGACTTTTTTTAGTGCTATTCAGCATATTATGTAATATGTCTGTCCTGTTCCTTTTGTAATCGAGAGATGCAGTAAGATATCTGTAAATATCTTGGCTATAAAGTACTTGGGGAACATGCACATCGTACACATTTTTCAATATCTTGGCTATAAAGTACTTGGGGAACATGCACATCTTACAATTTTTGCAATATGTCCTTCAAATACTTGTTTGTATGATTTAAGATACACTAGACTGCACATGTGTATATATACAATGTAAACAAGATCTCGGAAAAGCCTGCATGCACGAAAAGAGAATTAGTAATGCATATAGAAATTAAAACAGGAAAAAATGTCTGTCTTGTCCATTGAGGATCCCATTTGAAGTCGTTACCTTCAGGTTATTTTGACACCCTCAGGAATATTTGAAATTGGCAAAGAAAGAAAACATGTAGGCCAGCCCAGGATAACCCCTCCTGCCACCTGCATACGACCTGTTATGGTTGAATGGTTGTCGTTTTGCAGCTCTGTTACTATAATGATTGACCTATTATTTTGCTAGCACTATTTTTGTTCTTCAGTTTTTGTTCAATCCAGACTTTCTCTACTTCACTGCTGGAAGTTTACCTCGAGGAGCTTTGCAGTGTGATCATCCTCAGCCTGGCTTCTGGACCCCAGTGGACTGGACTTCGGGCACTGGGTTCCACATGGGATGCTTTCCAGACCCTGTTCTGGTAAAAGCTGCAGAACGCTCTTCAGGTCCAGAGCCAGCAGCATCGCCTTAGCACTTGCACTGTCTTTTTGATTCTAGACACGGGGTTAGTGGTGGTGCCCCAGCTCACTTTTTACTATTGGCTTCAGTGCTGCCTGCAGGAATCAGGCTGTCTTCTGCTTTTAGTCTCTCATATCCTCTTTGCCCTTTTTGGGTGAGGTTTTTAAAATGGTCATGTAATTCTTTATAACCCAAATTACCATACTTTCTGAATGTGATCACAGAAGCCACAAGCGTGCTCCAGTTGAATGGAGTGCATTCTGGTGTATATTTATTGCTCCAGACTTGCCCAAGTGAATATCATAAACCAACCTGGTAAGACTTATGGCAGATGCTATGTGGACACTGCCAGATTCTCAGGATCTTTTGTCCCAAGGATCTATTTTTCATCCTGCTTCTCGGTCGCTGGCTTTAAAGGCATAGCAGATGTGGCGGGAGGTGGAGATGTTCGGCACCTTTGTGACCTGTAGCTGCAGGGCATTGAATTTTATTCAGACTCTTGTATCATAAGGCTTTTTTATGAGAGCCTTAATGAAATTGAGTCTGGATTATATACATTTTAGTTCCCTTTTAAGGCAGGGCAGTCTCTGGTAGCAACCTATTGCTACAATAATGTTGGCTTATCACAGGCAGTGAAGAAAGCTCCAGAGCGCAGTTTGAATTGTAATTGAACGCTTTAAGAGGCTGTGCTCATGAAGCTAATCCCACAGACATACAAAATATCGTCATTATGTGTTATCACTGCAACAATTTTAGCAGAGTTTGGTCTGTCACTGGGGCAGCATTATAATGGGGTTCCTTAACTAGCATAATATAAAATGCATTTGTGTTTTGAGAAATTGTACCTCCTAATTCTGTTTTTTACCAATTCACAGAGTCATGTGCCTTGGCTGCATAGTCCTAATCCTGGACTTGAGAAAGTCAGTGCAATTGTGTGGGAAGGAAATGACTGCAAGAAAGCAGATATGTCTGTTTTGGAGATCAGTGGAATGATAATGAACCGAGTAAGTATTGTTTTTCTCTGATATAAACTTGTAGCATATGTCCATAAATATTCCAGGAAATATGTTATGAATTGTTTCTTCTTGTTTACAAACCACCCGAGAAGATGGTAGTGATTGCAACTTGTCACAGCATAGTTCTTTTAAAATCATTTCACTTTGGAGGCCCAGTGTTTTGGAAAGTGTTTTTACTGTTTTGCTTGCGCTGTGTAACGGTTATTTATACATATTTTTTTTTTTTAAATTTCAGGTGAACCACTACACCCCAGGAATTGGATATCAGATATTTGGAAACTTTATCTCTATAATTCTGGGTTTGACTCCATTTGCCTTTAGACTGTCTGAATCCAGGGACTTGGAGCAGCTGGCGGCACTCTCTGCTTCTGAAATGTACAGCATTGCATTTGGCTCCAGCAATGATATCATGGTCATTACCATGGTGGTTATTAGTTTTATTGTTAGGGTTTCCCTGGTCTGGATTTTCTTTTTCTTGTTATGTGTAGCAGAGAGGACATACAAGCAGGTGAGCATAAGAGACCAAAAAAGGAAAATAAACTGTGTGTATACATATGCATATGTGTATATATAGATATAAATCTATATATTATATGAATGCTTTCAGAAATGTAAAGTAAATAAATGAACAGAAGCCAGTGGAGTTGGAGATTTGGTCAGTATCAATGGTGTCCATAATGCTGAGAAGTACAAGCGGATACTTATCCATCATGCCATACCATCAGGGAGGTGTGTGATTGATTGGCCCCAATTTTATTCTGCAACGAGACAACAACCCCAAACATACAGCTAATATCATTTAAGAACCATCTTCAACATAAAGAAGAACAAGGAGTCCTGGAAGTGATAGTTTGGCCCCACATAGCCCTGATCTCAGCATCACGGTGTCTGTCTTGGATAACATGAAGTATTTGAGGCAGCCTACATCCACAGAAGATCTGTGGTTACTTCTCTAAGATTTTTGGAACAACCTACCTGCCAAGTGCCTTCAAAATCTGTGTGCAAGTGTACCTAGAAGAATTGATGCTGTTTTGAAAAGGATGTTTTTTGTTTTGGCAAAGGATGATCACACCAAATATTGATTTTGATTTTGGATTTCTCTTCTGTTCATTTTACTTTCCATTTTGTTAATTGATAAAAAAAAATAAACTAAACACTTTTATTTCTGAAATCATTCTTACTTTACAGTATTTTGTACACCTGCCTAATGCTTCTGCATAGTTTTTTTTACGGTTTCTTTACACTGATTAAAATAAATTGATAGGAAAGTCCATGTGAAAACATATGCATGCAAAGTGATTTTAAATTACTTTTAGGAAATCAAAATGATTGCATAAGCATATGGCCCTTCATCTTAGTAGACCTTGTGGCAGCAACTACAGCCTTAAATTCTGTGTGGATAGGTCTCTGCCAGCTTTGCACATCCGTACACTGCTGTGTTTCCGAATTCCTGTTTGCAGAACTTCTCAAAGGTTAAGGTTTCACCAAACCTTTGTTAAGGTTTCATGAGTGACCAGCCTTTTTCAAGTCAAGTCACGAATTCCATATTGGATTCAGATCTGAATGCACAAACGTGCTTTACGCACATGTTACTGTAGCGCATTGGTGTAAATGGGCCCTCACTTGAAAGCCTTTTTAACTATATATCTTACTTTGGTAAATTCGCTGCACCAGTGATGATTTTGGTGTCATTCAGATATTTTGTGTTTTCACTGCAATTTAAATCGCTTGGAGATCTGTTTTCACTTTGTCATGAAATATTGTATTTCAGTTTGTCGTAAAAAAAAAAATTTTTTTTAAAAATGACATCCACTTTAACCACCTCCCGTCTGCCGAACGTAGGAAAATGGCCGGACGGAAGCCTTCTAGATGTGGGTGGGCGTCTTAAAATGTCCTTTGTGCCTGCTCCAGCTCGAAACTGTCAAAATTTGAAACAGATCTGTGGTGAAGCAGATCTCTGCTTCATCAGCTTCTTTGGGGGTTCTTAGGTGTCATTAGGGGTCTTGGAGAACTCTGTCTCCATAAAGAGGACCTGTCACTGTAATTTGATATCACATAAAAGGCTTCTTGTGTAAAAAAAAAAAAAAAAAAACCCACAAAAAAATGTTTAAAGACCCCAACATACACATGCCAACATGCGTCGGGTGCGAAAACGAGAATTACGCCCATTACGTCGCACATGTTACATATCATCACGAATGTTAGAGCCTAAGAATTAATTATAGGGCCATCAATTACTGTTAACAATAAATTGATGAGCAGTAAAAGCTTTCAAAGTGTTGCCTATGTATGGCCCATTTTGGGTGTGGTAGTTTTTTGTGATTTCGCAGGCGTGTGCAATTTTAAGGCTTAACGTGTTTGGGGTCTATTTAACCGACGTGACCCCATCCTTTATTTTTTACCAAAAAATATGGTAGTAATAAATGTTTCATAACATAATGTGGAAAACAGGTTTTGTTTTTGTGGGGGGTTTTTTCCTTGAATAGTAAAAAATAAAAAAAAACTCAGTGGTGATTGAACACCAACATAAGAAAGCTCTATGTGTCCCCAAAAAATGATATAAAAGTCATTTCCGTACAGGGTTGCATGACTTCATATATGTCAAAGTACCTCAGCGCTGAATACTGAAATGGCCTGGGCACCCTGGTCTTCAAGTGGTTAATTTGGTGTTCTATTGAAAATAAACCAAGGGGTTAATACTTTAATATAGCAGGAGCCCACACACACAAGTAGCGTATTGTTTGACCTTTTTGTTGCACATTTTGCCATCTTCGTTCTATGACAGATCATTACTTTAATGTCTCTTCAGAGATTACTGTTTGCAAAACTATTTGGCCATTTGACTTCTGCCCGGAGAGCACGCAAGTCTGAAGTACCACATTTCCGTCTAAAGAAAGTTCAGAATATTAAGATGTGGCTTTCTCTTCGGTCATACTTGAAGGTTGGTGAAGATATTCCACAGCTTACTTTACAGTTCAAAACACCAAAATGGCTCTCATTAGCAGGACTGGTTTGCACATATTTTGTGTTCTAGTTCTATTTATGAACATCCTGTTTTAGATGCGTGTACAATGTGTTTTGGTTAGTAATAGAAACCAATGTAGAGGATTGTATTCTGTACTGAATTATTTGCTTAGTGAGACATTTCACTAAGACATTGCAAATAGTTATTTTATTTTTTACAAAGGAAACGTACAAATGTCAGTGAATGTAGATTCATGTTGTAAAACAGACTTTTGCAAACTCTGCCAGCAAGCCGCAGCTTTTATAGTATAGTTTTTTTGTTTTTTTAAAATATTATATATATATATATCTGCAATACATGTGCACATTTTACCTGTGTTTTATCCATTTTAAGACCCAGCATGTTGGGACTTGGTATGATGATTCCTATTGGTGATGAGCTCAGGTTCAATCTGAACCTGATCTCTTCCAAACCCAATAGGAAGCTCCTTCTGCTGCTTGCTCAGTGAGATGTGGTTGGGGAATTCCCTGCCTGTGCATGAGCAAGGGGGTGGCATGCTATGATGTCATTGACCTTAGGTGGTCGAATGTCTATATTTGGTCAATGACATTGGCCTAATGTGGCCATATAAAGTCAATGATATCCGCACAAGCATCCTGTTCCTCTGTTTATGTGCAGCTGCGGGGCATTGAATGCCCTGGCCCACAGTTGATTGGGCAGGTGGTTCCATGTCCCTTCTGCTTTCGCAGGTGTTCAGGTCCAGACTGTGCTAAGCCTGAACATGAGCTCATCCCTAGTTCTTATGAACTATTCTGTATTCCATGATATGAACTAGGAGAGCTATATAGAGATAACACAGGAGGTCTGAACAGAATGCAGGACAGTTCTGCATATCACAAGGTCAACAGGCATTTTTTTTTGCACTTATCGAACAAATATTAAAAAAAAAGTTCAATGTTCGAGTTTACATTCACTTTAATAAGTAAAGGAGTAGCTTTGTCTTTAATAGGATATTGTTCCTTTTGAGTTCACCTGCAGTAATTGATGTTTGACTAGAATGGAAGAAGTCTGATTACTGTTGTCAGTAAATAGGAAATTGTAACCACCAAAGAATACTTCATTCATTTCTTTCCTATTGTGCTGTACAACGTGTCACCTTCAGGTTTGCCAAATTTAACTTTAGTAATTTAAGTTTGGTTCTGCTGCAGCATTTCATGTTTTTGTACTAACCAACCTACATTTTCTGTGCAGTAATTCTGTTATTTCACATTTTAAATATGATATGCAGTGAGTGTAATACACACAATTAGTCATTCTCATAGCATTAATGGTAGTATATTTTTCGACTGTTGGCCTTTATGCTTGGAATAGTAGCTTCATGTTAATTGCACAGCACTTTTTCAAAGCCAGATGAAAATGTTTTCATTCTTTTCTTTTCTTACAGCGCCGAGGCCCTCAGCGTTCTGTTGATGTAATTGTTTCATCAGCTTTCCTACTGACTATATCGGCAGTATTCATCTGCTGCGCACAGGTGAGATATTTTTTTTTTATGTATGTCTTTTGTTTGAATCTGTTACAAGAACATCTTCAAAGAGGTCCAGCAGGACTCGCAGTCGGCATTCTCCTTAAATTACCTAATGCGGGTCAAAAAAAACTGCAAAGCAGCAATCAGATCAAAAGATAGCAGTTGACTTGATGTTACATCACTGTCCCTGCTTGTAAACTCAGCTTGCCTCCGTCTGCATTAATAAAAAAAAGTGGTAATTCTTAAGCTCAGTCGGAACTCTCTTTGCTGAAGTCAGGCCAGTACATGATGGGCTATTGATTACTGTACTTAATTGGTGCTCTTAATTAAATAGATCTGCATGTCTTCTCTTCTGTAGTGTACCATTTTACCCAGTTTGAGCACTTCTTGCTCTAGTTCTTTATTGTGTTGGCTGCAAACATCCAGGGATACAACGTCTAACGCAAACCAAAGCCAAGTAGCTACGTAGTGAGTAAATTGACCTTAAGCAGGCATGCAGCTTGGAACTAGCATCAGAATTATTTATTAGGTTAAGTGAAAGCTTGCTAAGTAATGTATAAAGCTGGCCATAGACCAATAGAAGTTTGTTTAAAACTTTTCGGCAAGGAAAATCAAAGGAGCAGAATGGAAACATTTTCTTGTTTCTTATTTGAACAAACAAAATTCAAGCCATAAGACCCCATTCACACTGAGCGATTTTGTAGCGAGGTTTCCGCTCAAAAATCACTCAATGTAGCTCGTCCGATGCATTTCAATGGAGCTGTTCACATCTCACAACTCAATGTCACCTGTAGCTTAGCTCAAGCTGGTCGCTCGAACATGTCCTATTTTTTCAGTGGATTTTGTGCAATTTGGACCCAATACGCTTTGATAGACTGCCAAAAGAAGCGCTACGTAGTGCGACAAAACGTGCACTCAGCTTTTTATGATGTAGCTCAGTGTGAATGGGGTCCTAATGTGATTTCCATTTGGGAAACATTGTACGCATTGTAGTACACGTGTGCTAGGCAAAGTTTTGTCTGGAATTAGAACTTTCATGTTCACAAATTTGTTCTTTTAGATAATTCTGTATGGTTTAGAAATGTTTGAAAGAGCAATGCAAACGTTTTTGTATAATGCATGCAAATTTGAATTGATCAGTAGATCATTTTTAATACTACAACCTCATGCACTAATGAACATAAAATGGGGGGAATTTATCAAAACAGGAGCAGACAAAATCTGGAGTAGTTGCTCATAGTAACCAATCAGATTCTCTCTTTTATTTTCAAAGCTTAATTGAACAAACTGAAAAGAGAAGCTAGTTGATTTTTGTCTGCTCCAGTTTTAATAAATTCCCCTCAATGCTTATAAATATACTTCGAAATATACAAAATACTTATAAATGTAAATAAACTTGTTTACATTTTCTGGGATTCCATTCAAGTAGAAGGTTTGGATAAAAATGTTAAGGGCTCTCAAATGAAATTGACTCAATAATTGCAAGATAAAGAATTGTTTAGATTTTCAAGGAAGATCTCACCATGTATGGTGAGCTTTTAAGTTTAACTTTTAATGGTATTTATTTCCTCTCACAGACCCAATAGTAGTCCCCTAGACAATGTCTTTATCTGCTTTTTCTCTCCACAATGACAAAACCATATTTGTTTGGGCATAATTCAGGGTCAGCATCTACTTCTGGACCAAGATGCTAGCTTAGAGATAACAGTCATGTACTTTGTGCAGTTCTTGGCTGTGTTCACAAATGTCTGATACAGATCAGCCCCTCCTGCTGCCTTTCAACTGGTCACTTGAATGGTTACAAAATGAGTGCTACAGTCTAATCACTAAGGGAAATAGAGACTAAGGAAATGATTCCTCCTACCAGCAGCAGACTGATTTCAATATCTCAGCATAGGCATAGTTACTTGACTGGTGACTTAAGGGCTGCTTTTTGAAAATCTGTGCTGTTGCTAATATGAGATGTAAAGGGTTTATTTATTCAGACTTGCAAGGTAACTAAAAGGTCCACCTTTAAGGAAACATCAACTGCATTATCGGTCAGGATGAGTGACTTGCTAAGAAGTGAAGAAAGGCTGAATATTGCACCTTTAAAATCTAAAGTCCGTATACTGTGCACATATATTGTCAAATTGGCCGTAACAATGGCCTCACTCTTGGAAAAATGACCCATCTCGTATACTACCCCTATTCTAATTCTTCCCCTCCTATTTTTATGACCTCCCCTGATTCCATTATCCTTCCTTCCTTCCTCATTTTCTTCTACTGGCCCCCAACATTTGATTTTTATAATTTTCTATACAGTGCACCATGAAAAATGGTGAGTATAGGAACCCCTCCTACCATATTATATAAGCATTTCTATGTTGACTTATTAGTTCTCACGGTTACCAACTCTGTTATAATTGTTGATTGCATGTTTAACCAAGTATATAATTTTAATGTACTGGACCAGATGATGTACCCATATGGTCATGCATCTCTAATCCACTTGGTCCTTTCTTAGGGAAAAAAAACCACAAACATTATTTCAGATGAATCTAAAGTCAGTAATAGCAACACCCATATTTCTGTCTGAATCTATGCATTCATGGTTTCTCTATTCATTTAGTAAGACGTCTGCTCTGTGTGCATAGGCTATATTGTTTCTAGGAGTTTATTTTGTGCAGACATTTTTTCTTTTTCTTTACTACTGTGCAGATGGTTTTGTAATTTTTGGTTTATCGATTAGTGGCAGTTTCTCTCCCATGTTTTAATCTGTATATGATGAAGTTGAAGTCTGCCATCTAGTGAGTAAGATAGGTACATTTACATATAATCTTTCATTGATGTAGCATTGCTTGGTTTGCAAATGGGTTTAAGAAGATTTTAGACTAGTTTCTTTAATGGAAACTGCTGCTCTTACATGTGTCCTACAGGCTTAAAGTGTACCAAACACTTTAATACTCACTTTCCTGCCAGTGATATAATGTTCGTCAGTCCACCAGAGCCAAAATCCTCTCCATGGCTTCTTCCAGGCCAGGGTGACGAAACTCTCAAGCATGCACACGGGTTCATTGATTCCAACACCGTGGCGTGTCAAGCATGCGCAGCTCACAGTAGATTATAAAACATATTGTGAAAAGGAACGTATGAAACCTTTAAAGCAGAACCTTGCCCCGAATTGGCAAAACTTGTGAGCAGGAAGGATTTTTAGTGCTGAAGAGACATTCTTTGTCACTACTGCATTAAAGTATTCTCTTTGTGAGATAATTGAGACTACTGCAGACCTCCTTCTTAAAATGCTAGTTACCTGGCTTCAGAACGGCTTAGTTACACATCCAGGAGATATTTTCAGCAAATGAAGTTAAAAAAAAAAGTTAGAATTCCTTATCTGGGTATGTGATCCAGAAAGTATAGAAGCCAAAACATTAGCACTGTATGAGGACTGCTAGAATTTTTAGATACTGCCTCCAGCAGAAGCTTCAGCATCCAACACTTCCTGGTGTGGCTCATGCCTGTCGATCAATGGAATCACAGAGTTCAGCTGGGGACCAGGCATCTGACACACAGAAGTCTATCAGATGCTAAAGATTTTTCAGTGCCTGTAGCTCTAGAAGAGTGTAAAGCTTGGGGGACTGAGCACCCGGACAGGTGTGTATAAACCGTCTTCTATTGCAGAAGGCTTTTTTTTTTTAATCAAGTTGCAACAGAAGCGCTTTAAAATACAAGTCCTCTATAATATTTGGAACAGATTCTTAGTTATTACACATGGCCAAATCCAATTTACAAACTAGGAAACTTTGGTGAGTTGAGGTTCATCTTTTTTGGCAAATTGCAAGTTTTCAGTTAACTGTCTAAACTATAGTTAATTATACAGTTAAAAAAATCATGGCTAATTGTATTATGTTTTTAAATGTGTTATCAATGTCTTTCTTTTGTTTTGTTTTAGCTTCTACATATTCATGAAACGTTTCTGGATTGTCACTACAACTGGGAACTAGTCATCTGGTGCATTTCCTTGACACTCTTTTTATTTAGATTTGTTACACTTGGATCAGAAACCAGCAAAAAATATAGCAATACCTCAATATTGTTGACAGAACAGGTAAGTTACAAATATGAGTCTGTATGTTGCAGAAGTTGATTTTATAATAAAATCCGTCATTTGGTTACTACTACTTTGGGTAATTGTAGGGATTTACATCTCCCATGGTTCCTTTGTAAGCAAAGTGGGATCTCTCTTTACCCACTTTGCCTCCAGAGCAATGTTTTAAAAAAAATTTCAAACACATGTTAAAATCTGCATTTTGGGCCTGTAAATTGTTTAAAACCCTCAAAACACTAGCGGGGTTATTCGCAAACGGGTAAAGAGTGGAGAAGGCAGGAGATGTGATCAATCTAGGATAACATAGCTGAACTGGTAAGTGAGCTTATTTTGGAGAATTTTACCAAATCGGCTATTTTTCCTGCCTTCTCCACACTATTCACCCTTTAGTTAATAATCCTGTATATATTTTCTGAAAGCAGAGGCCCTGTAGAATAAAAAGATATTTATGCATTTTTTATCAAATATATATTTTCAGTCAAAACAAAACACTAAAATCAATTTTAGGGCACACAAACAATATATTTATACATTTTTGTACAATAAAAAAGAGATGAGGTTATGTTGAGTAAGTAGATATCAACCATGTCAAGCTGTAAAACTGCGTGAGCCTGCAAAATGGTGACAAATGATAGTAAAAAAAAATAATAATTTAGTAATTTTAAATGCCTTTACAGGTCATTGGTTTAGAGTTAACCATTGATTTATGTCATTCTATTTTGCATTTTTTCAACTAACGTTGTTGCTATCACAGAGTGCTAACAGGTCCTCTATGTGATCGCATTGGTCAGGTGATAAATGCTCTTTATGGAGACATCAGGGGTCTATTAGACTCCTAATGTATTTCCCACCCTGTGTTGCAGTGATCAAGCACAGGCTATGCTTATTCTGCTGCTTACGCTGCTTTTCAGCCTGCAGTTTGACAGCTCTGAACCCAGAAGAGGTTTGAGATTAGTGTTTCTGGGTTCACACTGCAGACCAAATTGGTATACAGATTCTACTAGATGTCCTCCCGCTGTTCATCATGACCATGCGTATTGTGGTCCATGGCTCCACAGCTTGTTATTTGTGAGAAACAAATGTGGATTAAAGCTGCAGATGGAAGAGATGAGATCATCTGGGCACACTCCACCGGTTTCAGTACTCGATATGGGCGAGTACCGAAACAGGTATCGGGGCATCCCTAATAAATAAACAAACACACACACCCACCCTACCTGTTATCTGGAATTCAACTAACCAGAACTCTCATCTACCAAGAGAAGAAAAAATAAATCCCCTGTGTAATCATTGTCCTGCTGATCTGCAGTATGTATTATCCTGGAAACGAACTTGTGCCAATTTGTCTTAATTGCAGACAACTTGCTTTTGATTACTGCATTTCAATATTATGTAAGTCAATACAGAGTTTATGTTATGGTAATAATATGGGGTATTACATTAGTTGGACCTATTTTCAATAGTAACTCTCAAGCAACCAAAAACTACATTTATTCAGTATCTACCAATCCCTGTGGATATGTGTGTGTATATGTGTGTGTGTGTGTATATATGTATGTATGTATGTATGTATGTATGTATGTATGTATGTATGTATGTGTATATATATATATATATATA